ATTAGGAATTAAGTGTTAACGAGCAGTTGGACAGGTGTACCTAATAAAGTGGCCGGTGAGTGTATATTACAATTATAAATATAGTTCAGTAGATTCAGTGCTTTCATCCAGCTTCTGATTCACAAAATATTTTATTTTTAATTGGTGGTCTTCCCACTTTAAGTGTCCTCTCAGCGTGGAGGTTAAAGCTAGCTAGGTTCAGAGCTCGTGAATTTTATTTATGACCACCATCTCCAGCATGCAGAAATGCTCCCAAAAGATTTGTGTCAAGGACCTGGGGGACACCAACTCAGCCTGCTACTTTAAAGCTCTATAAAAAGCCAGGTATGCCAAAGAAAACTAGGATACGACAGATGTAAGAACGGGCAGTAAATACTCGGGTATTTATGAAGAAGCATGCAAAACACCATGGCATTAATGCCTCGCTACCAATCACTTGCAATCAAATGATGCAACTGAACACTGATAGAAGATCTTTTACAGTTTCAGGTGAATAAATTTATCTCTGTCAGAAGATTCAGGTGTAAAGCACAGGTATATGTCTTTTCTTTTTCCATTTCACCTCCCTTGGGTCATTTCCTCATCTTGCCGTTATTGGCTGCCAGTCTAATCTCAGGCTGGGGCGTCGCAGATGGTACACAGTGACTGCCAGCATACACACAAACACCTATCATCTTTGCCTTACGCTTTTTTTCTTTTTTGACAAATGTGCACTTCTCAGCATGACAAAACACACGGTGAGACAAGGCATGCAACATTACCTCACGGAAATAAATCATCACAATCTAACCCAAGTCAAAAAGGATCTGTTTGAGAGGAAATTTTTTATTTCTTCTCTTTAGTCCAGAAAATCTAAAAAAAAAAAAAAAAAAAAAAAAACGTAAGAGCTCAAAAGAGGTCTCACCTTCTGTGCTGAGGCCAGGGCTGGAGGTGAAGCTGGCAACATCCACAATCTTTACAGCAAACTGCTGGCCCGTGTCCCTGTTGATGCAGCGCCTCACCACACTGAAGGGACCCCTGAAACACACACACACACACACACACAAACCAAATCAGTCCAGGAGAATATACTACAAACGCAAGTTTGAAAAAGACTTTTCAGATTCCGACACTAGTATTTAGAAGACATATGTACACATAATCAGTGGCACACGGCAGCCTGGTGAAATGGGCACACACACGTGTTTTTGAGAATATTATGGATTTACAGTGGGTGGTTTGCTCCGCTCCAAAGCCTTCGTGCTTATGCCAGTGGGAATCATAGAGCTGTGTGGTGCAGTGCAGCTGCAAAAAACCTAAAATAAAAGCTTTATTACAGAGACCTGTGCAAAGGAGACCCACCCTGCACGTTTTATATCAAGGCAAAGAAGTTGGAGGAGTTTGAAAAGCTGCGTTTTCCTCATAAAGTTTATTCTTATCTTTAAAATTTGTATTTAAAACAAAAATAATAAAACATTTAAATTAAAAAAAGCTGTCTTGAAAAAAGTGAAACTAACAGTTTTCTAACAGAACTTCTGTGTTTTGTTTGTGGCCAGGGGTGTCCCAAACAGATATTCTTATCAGATATTGGTCCTATATCAGCCAAAAAAAAAGTTTTGGATTTTATCAGCCTGCATCTAAAATCTCAGATAGAAGCAATACAAGCAGTCCATTCCAGTCATCCGCTCCATCATTTCCATCCAGCAGGGCTTGGATCCAGCATGCAGAGCCCACGTGATCACAACAGCAGCTTGTGCTAACAAAGTAGCAAACAGTAGGAGTGATGACAGTATGGCAGTACTTTTCATTAAAGTGCAAAATGTTGCAGCTGAGCACAAAACTTGTCATGCACCAGTTTTACTGAAGAGAAAACCAGGCTTGACTTCCCAACCTGGCAACAACAACAGCCAGGTTCCTCACAGGGACACAGCTAGCTCCCTGCACTTATGTCGAGAGTGCGAGGTTCTTTAGTGCAACGTCAAGTACCACGGAGGCTCACAGGAGCAGGCTGACAGATCAGCATGCCGAAACATCTATCTTCTTAAAAAATTATTTTCATATCTTGCTCAAACTGCAGAAAATTGCCATGTTTACATGGACATAAGTAACTGGATTAAACGGATGTTCATAATAAAAATGCATCATGTAAACATTCCCGCTCGTTGCTTCGCCTGTAGCTCAATCAGGGAGTGAGGTGACGTCTCCCCTGTTATTAAAACCTGGAAGGGGTCACTTCTGGGCACTCAGGAGACATTTGTTAATGTTCATCACGGCAGTAAAACTTCTGTGGATTTTAGGGAATCTTTACAACTCTGCACATACTGTACTCTGAATAAATGCCTGGAGCATGTAACCACTTGCCATGATCGGGTTGTAAATGATATATTCAGATTACAGTTACCTGAATACAATTCAATTCAAAAAAACATTTGCAGATGTAAACATCACTACTGAAGATTGAGCCATAAAAAGGTACCTATCCATTTAGTTAACTGACTTTTTTTTGTTTGTTTGTTTGTTTGTTTTTTTGGTGCTTGTTATCCATAAGTTTCTGTAAAAGCACATGTAGGCTGCCATGACAGACCACTAGTCCCACCCCCCAGTTTCATATTTCCGGTAAACCAATGAGAGCCAGAGATTCATTCAGAGAGTTATGAATCAAAAATATCAGTTTGTTTTTGCTTTAACTGGCTTGTTTTAACAGGCAGCTTGAGCAGTTCAATCACGAGTTCAACTTGTGTATTTGTCAGCTGCCACAACAATTGAAGAAAACTGAGAAACACTTTAGAAACATTTTGCCTAGAACAAGAAGTAATAGAGACATGTCCATGCCCAGCACCATAAACACTGCCCTTATGCCGACAAAGGAGAACTGTAAACTAACAAGGCTGGCAGCTTTAAATCTCAAAGACCCACCAAAGAAAGTTTGTTTGTTCTTTTCATTTTACCGACAAAAATCCCTCAGATATTCACCCTGATCCAGAGCTCTATCTGGGCTATTACTGGTCACCAAAGGTGGCTTGTCAGAATCCCTGTGATTCAGTTTTCTTCAATATCAACTAAAACCCTGAATCTGTGCCTGTGAGGGAAATTGTAAATGTGGTTTGTCTCTGTTTCACTATTTCACCATGCAGTTCTTTGCTTTTTTTAAATTAAAGCTGGTGAATAGCGTTAGCATAAGTGCTCGCTACTGTTAGCCTGGAAGGTAGCCTGGATGTTAGCATGTTATTTGCAGCAAAATTTCAAACTTAAAGAAATTTTAAGTCTATGGTTAGAAGCAGCATGCTGACAAAACTACATAAAGGGATTTAATTTAAATATCTCAGTTCTGAGTAAGCTGGGAATATTAAACAGTCCTCTTCGCAAACACACGCTAAAATATTGTGTCTACATGGCAGGATTAAAAGACGAGGAGCTTAGCCCCCAGGGGCTAGAAAGGTCCTCAGTTTGCTTTAATAAAAAATATGTTAACGGTAGGGATAGGTACCTTTGACATTTGAATCGATTCGGTACTTAACGGTACCAATTGTCAGTACTTTGTGTGTGTTGTTTTTTTAATAATAAACATTTTTTAACATATTTCTCAATATATAAAAATTTAACAAATATCAAGACAAATCCAACTCTTTGTATTGTAACATCAGTTATGTAACTTATTTCTTTAAGGTGAAAACTCTTGAAAACAACAAGACTAAAATCCAGCTCCACGTATTTCTATTGAAACCATTTCCCCACAAGAAAAACTGTGATGGAGGTCCATGGAAGGCAAATAAGTTTAAATCAAATAAGCAAAAGAGAATAAAATGTATTCAAGCTACATTCAGCATCCAAATCACGCCTGACGCTTCAAGCTGGCTGCTTGTGCTCTTTCAGGTCAGACACGTTTGGACKGTCGGGAAGCGCCTCTGTTTTCCTCTGCTGGTCTCTGTTTAATGGTGGATGAAATAAAKAAAGTGGCRGTACTTTATTTACTTTGAGCAAGAGAATGTCGTGCTCACAAGAAAATTAATCCACCAGATAATTCAGAGGTGGTCTGTTCGGTGAGTTTTACTCCAGGAGCTGCGAGGCTTTCAAGCTACATTCAGACCAARCTCTATTTACTGAACCAGCAGCTGCTGACGTCATTACGCTCTTGCGCAATGCTGCGTTCAGGACAAGCATGGAAAACTCATCACTCTTACGCCAATACGGTCGCAATGATGCGTTTAAGTACCGAAACATGGTACCGTTTGATGTTACGTGAATAGGTTCTCAGTATCGTCAGAATTTGATCGGTACTTAAAAAGTATCGAATTTGGTACCCATCCCCAGCTAACGGAGTTTTTACAGGCTGTTTATTTATTTTGTTTATCATTTATTTTAAATGACTGCCCCTGTATAAAACCCTTCAGTTCAGCTTTCAAGGTTACAAGCGAACTAGTACCCAGTGAATTTTATGTTTAGAATAGGGGGAAGGAGGGAACTGTAATCACAATACTTTTATAAAATTATTATATCTCTGGGGGGCTTAGGGACTTTGACTGACAGGTCTGACTTTAAAATTAGGATCAATAATAAAATTAATGCTATTAGCATTAACAAATCTACCTGACTGACATGCTAAATAAATAAAACAGCCATAAAAACTACTTTCAGATAAGGCAGCAAACTATGAATTAAGCTGTGTATGTCTTTCACATCCCACTCATATTATGGAGTTAATTGAATTATGATGTCCTACAAGACTTTTTAGGGCATCTACTGACAACTTAAGTGCAGGCTTTCAGCTCTACAGAGGGCAAGAACAGCTGAAGTTGAAAAAACAGTCTGTGCGGCTCTATGTTCAGGAACATGTATGCTGCGAAGTGACAGTAATTAATCAATGCTCTTTAACAKGTTGTGGGGATTAAAGGAATGAAACATCCCATGTGACCACTTTCTTACCCATTCGATGTTAGTATTTGTCACTGAACTAACAGCACTATGAAACACGGTCCATCAAGCAGTCGTTGCAAATTGATTCCTGGCCCAGCAATGAATCCTAATTAAAACTCACCTTGAGTTTTTTTTTCTCCTGCCATTTTAAAMCAAATCAGACTGACTAGGACTACTGTTGAAGAAAAAAAAACAATCCCATAAAAATGCTTTAAATGTAGTTTCATTTCACTCGTTTAATGCCCTGACTGCAATACCAAAAATCTTTAACACAAATGTTCTAAATTATTTATTGTTTTTATTTCTATACTTTTTAATCCAACCACTCATTTTAACAGAAACACTGGTAACACAATAGGTGGAAAGAAAGCAAACAGAATATATATTGGAATACTTCAACTACTGYAAAAAGACGGATGCAGATGGCAACATGTAGCATGCAGCTTATGTGTACACACGATTTACATGGATTTTATTTTGAAATCACATATTTCAAAAAGACGATAGTGATGCAGTTTCAACTGTGTTTGGAATTCATCTTCCACAGAATAAATTATTTTGCTTTGATTTTCACATTTATCTCTGGATTTATCGCACCTCTTTCACATTTTTTGCACATGCTTCTCGAATTTACTCTGTTTCGCACCGGAGTGGAGCGGACGCCGGACGCTGTATAAATTGGGGTGCAAACTAACGGCTGCAAACGGTACAGCGGAGTGGAACCACATCTAGTGTAAATTAGGGGTAAGGGTATCGTACCCATCAAAATTTCATACCTAGTTTACAATACATAAGTTTCCATCCCTGCTCTAAATAAAGACATAACATACCTTTCATTAACCATCTCAGTACACAATCAAAGTTTAAAGTCAGCACAATCAAGATAATGCATGAMATTTTAGGGGTTTAAAAAAATTAAAGTAAAAACAACTTCATAGTTTTGTTGTYGATGGCTGGTAAAATATCTCAATTTTAGAAAGGGTTTAAAACAATTGGTTTTTCCTCACAAAAACAGCTTTCACACCATGCTGACAAGAGCTTTTTTTTTCTTAAATCATAGTTTAAAAAACAAATTGTTTTTGCGTGCATATATTGTCAAACAAATATCTAAAAAAAGCTTGCCA